ATTGGTCGCTTCAAAGGGTCATACTCTTCTACATGCACAACTGCGTTTTTTTCTCGCGCTCTCATACTGATATAATAAAAGAGAAATATCCTATCTATTCTTAGTCCATACTGTAAGTTAAGAAAATACGTTTTGTTTTTGTTCTTCGAACTTGCGCCTTAAATGCGATTGGCAAATCCTTGTCCACTTTGGAGCACAATCTTTGAACGTATTTCTCCTGCTGGAAAATTTTGTTACTACCCCACCAAAGAAAGTGTTTCTTGCAGTTTTAGAGGTCATGCCGATCTTCTTTGTGTCAAATATTGGAACTTTTAGCATGATTACAAATATAGTAAAGAGGTTATGTCATTTTTCCTCTTCTTCTAAATATACTCTTTTAAGTTCCTGTAGAATTTCCTTCGATATTTAAAATAAAAACAGCATAAACCAATTTTGTATTTTCGTCCTTGCGATCTTAAACTAACCCGTTTTCTCATCACCTGTGTAAGTGCAGCTTCATTCAAAATTTGGACTTGTAGCGCTTTTTTTGTATATCTCTGAAACGACTTGAACGAATTTTTTTAAAAACTCTTCACGTAATCTTCATAATTTATATAATAATGTCTGAAACTTTCATTAAGATTGATTCACTGCAACACCTTGAAATTTCAAAACAAACCTATCCTACGAACTGGTCAAAAACCCGCGCTACAACATTCACTGTTTTGACGTTATGCTAATTTTTCCAAATTAATGCCGACAATACATATATCCATGACTAGTACATTTCAGTGTGAGTATTGTCAATGTTTTACATTCAAAAGATGCGATAAATTCAAACTAAAATGAACTATTCTTGGAGGTATGTATATATAGTTCGCATTATTTTGGAAAATTAGTATAAAGTCAAAACAGTGAATGTTGTAACGCAGATTTTTGACAGGTTTGTAGGATAGGTTTGTCTTGAAATTCCAAGGTGTTGCCGTGAATAAATCTTAACGAAAACTTCAGACATTATACGTTATGAGGATTATGTGAAGAGATTTTAAAAAAATTCGTTCGACTCGTTTTAGAGATATACAAAAAAGCGCTAAAAATTTTGAATGAAGTTCCACTTATACAGGTGGTGAGAAAAAGGGTTAGTTTTCAAGATCGCAAGAACGAAAATACACCAAAATTTCCTT